CCTCACTGCAGCATGTTCTCACTGCAATGTGTTCCCCTCACTGGAGTCTGGATTTGAGCTGGGTGCTTCTTTCTTGAACTAGTATCTGAGCACATCTGACTGACTGGTTGTCCTGCCTCTGGTGTTTCTTCCGCCTCAGCTGCTCTCCTGGTTGCACTGCTGTGGCTCCCTGGAGGCTGTCAGGAAAGGGTCAGGCCAGTCTTCACCTTCCCTCCTTCACACCTCCCTCCTCTTCCTGCCTGTTCTCCACACCTCATGGTACTAGGGGGTTTCCCTTCCTCTTGCATTCTAGGCTGCGGTTCAGGTGAGCCTAAGATTCAGGAAAGCTTGGCTCTTCCTAGCTTCTGCCATTGTGGTGTGAACTTGAGTCAGTTCTGGTGGTGGTCTCCCAGGCGCTTCTGGGAATTGGTGATGCAGAACTGGAGGAGACCACCTTTGTTATAGACATTTTAGGACGAGCAGTAAACGTGTGTGTGTGTGTGTGTGTGTGTGTGTGTGTGTGTGTGTGTGTGTGTTTGCAGATACATGTGTGTGCGTAAGTGTGTAAGATGCGAATGTGTGTGAAAAGGTTGTTGTCTAAGGTCTTCCTCAGTTGCTCTCCACCTTAGTTTTTGAGATAGGGTTTCTCACTGAATTTGAGCTCAGTGACTTGACTGCCCAGCCAATGAGCTCCAACCCCCACCCCAGGCAAGCTTTTTGCACCAGTGCTTAGGATGAGCCACTTCCCCAGCCCTGAGCAGTAAACATTTATCTGGGCAGCTCTTCTGGTTTCTGAGGTCCTTCTGCCTCATTTGCAGGCCTCACTGCCCCACCCCCACCTCCCCTCTTTTCCTAAGAAGTGACTCAGACCCTTCTTGGGCCCCAGACAGGGTAGGAAGGAATGTGTATCTGATTCAAAGCACCAGAGAAACTGAAAGGGGGAGGGGTTCCCTCCGCACCCCAACCCCTCCATCCCACCTACATAAGGGTAGAGCCACTGGGGGCCTCCCATCCCCTGGAGAGTTTCTTCAGAAGCAGGAAATGACAAGTTCTCGCTGTTTCCTGTGGCTTACTGCTCACCCTGTCCAGGAAGGGTTCTTGCAACTCTAGGTACAGACCTGGGACAGTTTCTTGTTCAGTTTGCACCCCCCTTCCAAAGTTGCCAGACTGAGCAGCAGAAAGCAGCCACCAGAGCTTCAGATAACAATGACCCTGTCACTGAATGAAGAGGAGGGAGCAGTGGTTAAGGATACAGATAGTGTCCAGAAACTTTCATAAGTGAGGTTCTTGAGCAACCAGACACATGCTGGATCTCGGAGTTGCGTGTGCTTGATGCTTATTAAGTGATTGTATCCTCAGCTGCGCTAGCCTCCAAGGCGGCAGACTGAGGCCTACAAAGAGGTCTCCGCGTGTCTTCTGGTCTTACCTGGTGCCTCTTCCATGGCCCCTACACCAAGAGACGGTGCCTGGACAACACTGGGGACAAATGACACTGGAGACGCAGGCAGGAGTAGAGCATCACTCCGTGTTATAGAACTGAGGCTTCCGGAACCTTGAGGATTGCCAGGTCCATCCTGCCCGAATCCCTCAGTTCCTGGCTTCTCCCTGCTTGTGTTTTGGGATTCCCTGACCTGAGTTCATATAGGCAAAAGGCCTGTGAGATACCTCGCAGTCTGCTTGGACTGACAGCCCCTCTCCCAGCAGCCTTCCCTGATAACACCTACTCACTGGTCCCTGCTATGTGCTGAATGGAAAAAAACACTCTTACTTTGTTCTGACCTGGTTAAGTGAGTAGATTTATTTATTCTAAATGAGGACTAGTCTGACCTGGCATGGCATCTGAATGCCATCTAAGTTTCTGGTTTCTTGTGTATGTTTTCCTGGGTTGTGTGTGTGTCCTCTTTTGCACTGTCACAGCAATGAAAGGGTTGTCTCGTTCCTTCCTGTCTTCGTACGTTGTTTCTTTGCAAGGATATGCTGTAATGTGTTCAGTGTGGTTTTTCAAAGCCATATTCTACGAAGTTTCGGTCCTCAGCTGGAAAGAGGATGTGATCCCTTTAAGGGGTGGAGACAAAGAAGAAAAGAAAAAGGAACTGTTGTTGGAAGTTAGTGATAGAAACCACTATGTATCTGCCGTTGCTAAGGAAGTTGTGTCTCTTAATTCATCTGTAAATACCATAAGGGGATTGATTATCTGTGCAAGCGGAAATCTCCACAGAGAAGATTGCTCAGTGTCCTCCCTTAAAAAGAAGCTACCATGGGCATCTAGCCACTGATGCACACTTTCTGTCCAACTAGTTGCTTGGCAACCAGTGGATGATGGAAGTTTCCTTCTTCTCTGGGAAGCAGAGGGGAAAATGGTCGATAGCCAAAGCCTGTGGTCACTTTAGAGTAGCCTGCGGGAGAAAGGGCTTGAGCCCTGGCTAAGAGGCAGCCAGAGAAGCAGGACTGCCTGGCAAGGCTGCCCAGTGCCTGGAGCTGTTAACCACAACAGAACAACCAAGGGTGGCCAGGACAGAAGGGGCGCTCTCCTCAGAGCTGAAAACCAGAGTTTCTAGAGCCGAGGGCAATACAAACAATGCAAATCTAGAGATAAGAAAGATTTAGAATCTGACCTAGGCAACTTTTCTTTTGCTTTAAAAAAAAAAATCTTTGAGATAGGATTTCTTTGTGTGGCTTAAGGAAGCTTGAATTTGCCACATACTCCAGGATGACCTGGAGCTCACGATCTTCCTGCCTCTGCCCTAAGTGCTGAAGTTTCAAGATTTAAAAATGATGGGCCTGTGAGATGGCTCAGAGTCATTGCCTGGATTTAGATGCCAGCCTGAGTTTAGGTAGGAGAGAACTGACTCCTAAAGGCATTCTCTGACCTCCTTCATGTGTGCTCCGAGGCATACTTGTGCCCCCCAACACGCACACGCATGCACACATGCACACACACACGTGTGCACACACACATACACACACATGCGTGCACACACATATGCACACACACACATGTACACACACATGCATCCACACATACATGTACACACATATGTGCACACACATACACACAGACATGTACACACACATGCATGCACACACACACACACTCACAGACAAATGGAAATTTTGTTTTGTTTGTTTTTGCTTTTGTTTTTCAAGACAGGGTTTCTCTGCGTAGCCTTGACTGTCCTGGAACTCATTCTGTAGATCAGGCTGGCCACAAACTCAGAGATCCACCTGCCTCTGCCTCCTGAGTGCTGGGATTAAAGGTGTGTGCCTCTAGGCCTGACGACAAATTTAATTTTAAATATAAATGACATATATATATATATATATATATATATGCATGAACTAGGCACAGTGATAGGAAGATAGCCCCAATCTTTGACTTCAAAGCCAGTGAAGGCCAAGGAATAAGTAAGAATAGAAATCAGTGGGTGTAGGCAAACTTTTCTTTTCTCCCTTCCAGTTCCCAAGTAACCAACATGGAGGCTCAATACTAATTATAAATGCTTACCCAATAGCTCAGGCTTGTTACTAGTTAACACTTACATGTAAATGAACCAATATTTCTTATCTATGCTTCGCCACATGACTTGGTACCTTTTCTGCATGTCCATCTTACTATCTTGCTTCTCTTCATCTGCTTTTGACTCCCAGCTCTGCCCTTTCTGTTCCCAGCATTCTCAATTTGGCCCTTCTGCCCAACCTTACCCTGTTCTGCTGTAGCCCAGTCAGCTTCTTTATTAACCAATGAGAGTAATATATACTTACAGTAGACAAAGATTGTTCCACAGCAAGTGGGGCAGGATTATAGCTCAGTTGGTAGAGTGCTTGCCTTGCATGCTTGAGGCCCTGGGTTCAATCCTCAGCTCCACACAAGCTGGGTGTGTAAACACAGGAGGTCCTGGGTATAATCCCCAGCTTCACATAAACTGGGTGTGTAACACAGGAGGTTCTGGATTGATCCTTAGCTCCACACAAGCTGGGTGTGTGACACAGGAGTTCCTGGGTATAATCCCCAGCTCCACATAAACTGGGTGTGTAACACAGGAGGTCCTGGGTTTAATCCCCAACTCCATACAAGATGGGTGTGTAACACAGGGGGTCCTGGGTACAATCCCCAGCTCCACACAAGCTGAGTGTGTAACACAGAAGGTCCTGGGTCCAATCTCCAGCACTGTATGGAAGCTGGTGTGCGGGCACATACTGTAATACAAGAGGGGAGGCTGGATGATCAGAAGGTCAAGATCATTCTTGCCTACATATTGAATATGAAGCTTCCCTGAGATACAGAGACCCTAGCTTAAAAAAAGAAAAAAAAAAAGAGGAAACCTTGGCAATTGCTGGCAGTTTCAGTGCCAAGCCCACCTGCTTTCCTGATTCTCAGAATGTAATGTTTCCTCTCTCTCCAGCCACAGTCAATGAACTGTGACTGACTCCCACGGAGAGCTATGGCCATACTTGGCTATGCCTGCCTTCCTATCTATGACTTTCCCTTTGAGAAGCCCACACTCCTGAGTAAGCCTTGATTTCTTCTAGGCACCTCCCTTTTCCACTCAACCTTCGTGTTTGAGCCTAACTTAAATGTCTTTAATAAACCCCAACTCTGCAAAACAAAAACAAAAACAAAAAATAAAACTTGTTCTTGCCATGTGGGTGTCATAGATGAAGGAGCCAGTAGAAATGGAGAAGGGGAAGACAGGGTGTAGGTCAGGGTAGAGAGGGAGATGTCTGGCAAATGAAAGAGTGATTGTGCAAGGCTTATTTAAATAAATGACATTTATTCAGATCTAAGGAACAAAAAACTGTTAGTCAGTAGGAGAGCTCCCAAGGGCTGGAAGTCTATGGTGGTAGAGTGTGTACTGGCATTTACAGTCTTGGGTTCAATTCTCAGTACTGGGGGAAAAAATATCCACATGTAGGCTGCTTTGAGCAAGGGTTCATTCCCACAGGGCTTTCTCCATAGGAAGCAGTTTACTGTGTTCAGGGAAAGGAAGGAAGGAAGCCACCAGGCCAGGGTATTAGCTTTCATTCCAGGTGCAGCTAGGAGTGTAAGATTTTGACTTGAGGGAGTTAAATAGATACGACTTATGTCTCAGGGTGATCTAACTATCTTTCCCATTCATTCACAATGGCATTTCCCATTCTCACAGTGACAAATGAATTAGAGAGGTCGGAAGTGGAGCCAAGAGCAGTCAGATGTTGCATCATTCCAAGACAGAAAGCCATGAATGAAGCCAAGGTTTCAGAAGAATACAGTTGAGCTAGATTTTAGAGTTGCATTCCTTGGGAATTAGCGGTAGATTGTTGTGAGGAATCCAGGAGAGGAAAGGATACAGGCTCATCCCTCAGCTATGTGCACAAAGATGCTGTTGATACCCGATGGGAAGTCAGCAGAGGAGCAAGTCTGGGGGACCAAAATCGAGAGTGAGATCTGGATAGATTGCATCTGTGTGTCATCCAAGTGGAAGTGTGTGGTGATTGTGTCAGGAGCAGAGCGCAGAGGACTGAACCGGGGAAATCCAGCTGGAAGTCAGGGAAAGATGAAGCTGCCTGAAGGGCAGAGTATAGAAAGGAAAGGAGAGAGTGCCTGGATTGAGGGTGAAGAAGCTGCGAGACCAAGATGGAGACAGGAGGGCTGCTAAGAGAGGAGTGTCCTGGAACCCAGTGGAGGGAGGAAGCTTTGAAAGGGAGGGACATGGACTGTGTAATGCTCCTGAGAGGTCAAGGGAGACACAGGGGTAAGAAGACCATCAGAAAATAACAGAGATTTAAGGAGTTCAGCCCGGGGGTCTGCAGAGACAGCTCAATGAGTGAGAACCTCTGTCGCTGTTGCAAAGGCCAGAGTTCAGTTCCCAGCGCCCACATGGTGGTTTACAACGATTCAAAACCCCGATTCCAAGCGGTCTGACTTCCTGGGTGACCATACAAATGCAGGCAAAACATTCATACACATAAAATGAAATTTAAAAATCTAAAACACAAAAAGTTCGGTTTTGGGGGTGCGCCACTGAGGGCTGGTGCCTGGAAGCTGAGGTCACAGGTACTGGGACCACTGTGCTTTGTCATGACCTCAGAGAGACTGTGAGAAAGTGCTGAGGTGGCCGAGGTCTGTGGGATTGATTGACACGTGCAGCCGTGTGCTTTGTTTCTTCTTCATGACTGGCATCTGCGAGTGTCTAATTTCCTGAGCCTGACAAGAGCATGCAGGTGTTGAGGGTCCCCTAAGCATCCTCTTCGGGGTCTGGCTGCCTCCTCATTGCTCCTCCCTTGTCTCCCACAGGCCACTTCACAGCCATGGTGTGGAAGAATACGAAGAAGATAGGCGTGGGGAAGGCATCGGCAAGCGACGGCTCCTCCTTTGTGGTGGCCAGATACTTTCCTGCAGGGAATGTCGTCAACCAGGGCTACTTCGAGGAAAATGTCCCACCTCCAAAGAAGTAACTCACCAGATGTCACGAGAAACTGGAGACACACGTATAAAGTGCCTATAGACAAACAAAGAGCCAGCCGAGGGTCTGCCCCTGTGGGTGCACTGTGCACACACAGGCAGCTGGCCATGAGCTCATCCCGGTTAAAGGATGGACATCCAAAACGTTTATCCCGAGGGTTGCCTAGACCACAGTTACTTAGATTTGGGTGAGATCAATCCTGACATCTTTTTGCTGTTGTTTTTTTGTTTTGTTTTGGTTTGGGTTTTTTTTTTTTTTTTTTTTTTTTTTTTT